GACTTGCTACGAAGACCCAAATTCCTACGCTCTCCTCTTTGAGTTCTTTCCCCATTTATTGTTCTCTGTGTTCACGTGGGCCCTGCCTTGGTGGATTCTCGAGGTCTGTGAGCCTCCCCGAGTGCACCGGGAAGGTAGTGGCTTCCTAACATGTCCCCAACATGCAGCATGGTGCCTAGCTTACAGGAGGCCCTCCTTAAAGATGCACCGAAAGGAAAAGGTGGTAATGGGGCACCCAGGGGTCAGATAGGAGACAGGCAAGCTCTCTGTTTCAGCCTGCGAGTTGGCAGTTGGGGAGACCCCGCCTCCTCCGTGGAATCCCGGGGCTCCAGACCCGGGAGTCGTGCGGGGGGCGTGGCCTGCCAGAAAGCGAGCGCTGATTGGCCGGCGCTTTGGCGCGCGCCTGCAAACGCGCCTGCAAAGGCCTTGTCGGGAGGCGCGAGGCTGAGCTCGCGCGGTGCAAGAGGACAGGGCCCCCGTCCCCGGGCGCGCGTGCGCACGGCCACTTGCGTCCTGCCCTTTCCTCAACCCCGTCCAGACTCGTGCCCAGCACCACCTTGCTGGAACTGGTGGGGGCGTGGCTTGGCCTCAGGAACGCACGGGTGCGCTCCTCCTCAGGATCCTGGCGCCCAGAGGATTCGCACCCCACCCCAAGCCCGGGTTGGGGACTGGTGGTGGCCCGCTGCCCGGGGACCCGCGCGAGACGCTGTGTGGCCGGCCTCCCGAGCGTGGAGCCGGCGAGAAACCAGAAGGGGGGGCCCGCCTCTCGCCATTTTGCACGTCCTGAGGCGGGTGCTGGAGGTCGAGGGGGATGGGGAGGGGCTGTCTTGAGGAGATCCCGGGGTCCCCCCAGGAGTGGCACTTGGCGGCCACTTGATCTTTCTCTCTAGGGGGATCCGGGGGACAGGAGGGAGACCATGCTGGGGTGCAGGGCCGTGGGCGAGACAGGGCTTGGGGGGCAGGTCTGGAGTTGGGGTTTGAGGCTGGGCCTGGGTTTGGGGATCTGGGTACAAAAAGGCTGGGTTTGAGGAGCGTTGGGGATCTGGGCTTTTGGGTGAGGATCGGGGATCTCGGGATTTGTGCCTGTAGGTAACTAGCTCTGGAATCTGGAAGACCTGGGTTTGTGACTGGAAACTTTCCCCCTTGGAATCCAGATCCTAATTTGTGCATCTAGAAGTCTTAGTGTTGAGTTCTGGAGTGCCATTTTGGGGGTCTGGAGCCTGATTTGGGAGGACTGAAGCCCAGGTATAGATTTGGGGCCTAAAATACCGGTGTAGAGTCTAGGCTATAAGATTTAGGGTCCGGAGTCACAGTTGGTGTCTTTGAGAATGAAGTTTTAGGGCCTGAAGTCACCACCTTGACTATGGGGGCTTCAGCTTTAGAGCTTGGGATCCCAGAGTGGGACTCACATATGAGATCTCAGTTTTAGGGTTGGTATCACGATCTGAGGTCAATTTGGGGAATTGGCCAGGCATGGTAGCTCACGCCTGTCATCCCAGCACTTTGGGAGGCTGAAGTGAGAGGATTGCTTGAAGCCAGAAGTTTGAAACAAGCCTGGACAACATAGTGAGACCTTGTCTCTAAAAAAGAAAGAAAGAAAAAATAAGCCAGGCGTGGTGGCGTGTGCCAGTAGTCCCAGCTACTCTGGAGACTGAGTTCCAGGCTGTAGTGAGCTATGATCTTGCCACTGTACTCCAGTCTGGGTGACAGAGCAAGACCCTGTCTCAAAAAAAAAAAAAAAAAAATTTGAGAGAATTGAGGTTGGCTTTGGAAGGGTCTGTACTTCTTACTTCAGGAGTTGGGTTCTCAGTGTTAAGGTCTGTGATCTTAATATTAGGACTGGGGTTATATTTGGGGATCAGAAGTTGACGTATTTAGGTTTAGGAGATATCTGAATTAGAATTTCAAGTTTGTAGGTTTGGGAGGACTTATTTTTTGTGTTCTAGGTCTTCACTTTGGGAGTTTAAAGTCATAGTTCTGATGGCTTTTTTTTTGAGTCAGGGTCTCACTCTGTCACCCATGCTAGAGTACAGTGGCACGATCATGGCTCACCAGAGCCTGGAACTCCTGGGCTCAGATGATCCTTCCACCTCAGCCTTCCATATGGCAGGGACTATAGACATGAACCACCCTGCTGTTATTTTATTTATTTTTATTTTTTTATAGAGACAAGGTTTCACTATGTTGCCCAGGCTGGTCTCGAACCCTGGACTCTGGCAGTCCTCCTGCCTCAGCCTCCCAAAGTGCTGGGAGGCATGAGTTCAGCCTCTTTTGCGTCTTATAATCACAGTCTAGAGGACCCAAGCCACAGTGTTCAGGCTTGGTAGTCTCCACTTCAGAGGCAAGATTCATGGACTTTAGTTTAGAGGTGTGTGGTTTTAATTTGGGCCTCTGGGCCCATATTTGGAGGGATGGAAAACTTTATTTTGGGATCTCTGAGTGCTCAAAAAAGCGTCATGGGGAAGATGATGAGTGCCCATGATGCTGCCCATTCCTCCTGGAACTCCAGAGATCACTAATCATTCTTTTTCCATTTTTGCAGATGTGGGGGTCCAGCAGACAATTGTGTTTCCCTGAACAACCCAGAGCCAGTTCACTGGGTCCCAGTGACAGGTAAGGGTTCCCCCATCTTCCGTACAGTTCCAACCACTCTAATTGAATCATAATCATAGTTTCTACCAGCAATAATGCTTGCTGAGCATTTGCTGTTTACCAGATTCTTTGCTAAACCGTTTTTTGTATATCTGTTAATTCTTACAACAACCCCATGAGGAAGTAGGTGCGAATATTCTCACCATTTTCCAGATGAGAGAATTCTTAGATGATAGCAAAGATCATTTCTAAGGTCTTTGCAGCCTTTGACATTCTGAGTTTCCTAAATGTCCTTCCTTCCTTCCTTTTCTTTTTTTCTTTGAGTTGAAGTCTCACTCTCTTGTCCCGTCTGGAGGGCAGTGGCACGCTCATGGCCACCACAGCCTCGACCTGCTGGGCTCAGGCGATCCTGCCACCTCAGCCTTCCAAGTAGCTGGAACTACAGGCACGCACCACCACGCCCAGCTAATTTTTGGATTTATTGTAGAGATGGGGGTCTCGCCAAGTTGCCCAGGCTGGTCTCAAACCCATGGGCTCAGGCAGTTCTCTTACCTCGGCCTCCCAAAGTGCTGGGATTGTAGGCATGAGTCACCGTGCCCGGCCTCCTTCCTTTCTTTTATTCATGCATTCATTCAACCATCAAGCACCTACCAAGAGTTATTAACTTAATTATAGAGGTGATTATAAATTAATTATAGAGGCCAGGCTTGGTGGCTCAGCCTGTAATCCCGCGCCTTGGGAGGCCAAGGTGAGTGAATTGCCTGAGCCCACGGGTTCGAGACCCACCTGGGCAACTTGGCGAGACCTCATCTCTACAATAAATCAAAAAATTAGCCGGGCGTGGTAGCACGTGCCTGTAGTTTCAGCTACTTGGAAGGCTGAGGCAGAAGGATCGCTGGAGCCCAGCAGGTCGAGGCTACGGTGGCCGGGAGCGGCCACTACACACTCCAGTCTGGGAGACAGAGTGAGACTCCAACTCAAAAAAAAAAAAAAAATTAATTATAGAAGTGATTTTCACAGCAGATTGAGGGTTGGATCAGATATCTCCCTTCATTCAAAATATGGATTAAAAAAAATAGCCAGAGTGCATCGTAATCTGTACTGTCCCCTCCAGTGACTTCCATCCAGCCATCTCTTCATTAACTCCAAAATTCAGCATCTACAGATGCTGCTCAACTTGTGACGAGGTTATGTCCTGATAAACACTTCAGAAACTGAAAATATTGTAAGTCAAAAAAAGAAAATATTGTAAGTCAAAAATACATGGCTGACTGGGAGCAACAGTTTGCTGTCACTCATAGCATCATGAGAACGATGAGGTTTCTCCTGAATTCTTAGAGCTTTCACAGCATCCTAAAGTAAAAAAATTGTAAGTCAGACCATTGTAAGTCGAACCATTGTAGGCCTGGTATGGTGGCACATGCCTGTTTTTCCAACAATTTGGGAGGCTGAGGCAGGAGGATCGCTTGAACCCAGGAGTTCAAGACCACCCTGGGTTACATAGCAAGACCCCATCTCTACAAAAAATAAAAAATTAGCCAGGCATAGTGACACGCACCTGTAGTTCCAGTTACTTGGGAGGCTGAGACAAAAGGATCATCTGAGCCCAGGAGGTTGAGGCTACAAAGAACTGTGATCATGTCACAGCATTCCTCCTGGAATTCCAGAGGTCACCAACAATTGACTCCCCCCTTTCTAGATGTGAGGATCCTTGTATTAGTAAAGACTCTGCGACCGGGTGCAGTGGCTCAAGCCTGTGATCCCAGCATTTTGGGAGGCTGAGGTGAGAGGACTGCCTGAGCCCAGAGATTCGAGATCAGCCTAGGCAACTTGGAGAGACCTGGTCTCTACAATAAATCAAGAAAAATTAGCTGGGCGTGGTGGTGCACACCTGTAATTTCCAGCTACTTGGAAGACTGAGGCGGAAGGATCACCTGAGCCTAGTAGGTCAAGGCTGCAGTGGCAGTGAGCATGCCACTGCACTCTAGCCTGGGAGATAGAGTGAAACTCCAACTCAAAAAAAATAAAAATTAAAAATAAAGATTCTGAGTTGCAATGAATAGAAACCTAGCTAAAACTGGCTTAAGTATGAAACGGGATTCACTGGATCATTTAAACAAAAAATTCAAAGGTGTCTTGGCTAGTTCCAGGGTGGGGGTTAAGTTATGTTGCCAGGAATCTGCCTCTCTTGGCTTTGCTATTGTCTGTGTGGGCTTCCTTCTCAAGCAGGTTCTCCTTTTGGGAGGGCAAGATAGTTCCCAGCAGCTCCAGGTCTATACCCTGCCAGCTTGACAACTACAGCAGAGAGAGAGAGAGCCGCTTTCTAAGATTGAGAAACTTTGATTGGCCAAGCCTAGGGTTACCACCCCAATCCGGAACCAATCACTGTAACTATTCTTGGCAGGACCTTGGTTCATTGCTTCCCAGTGGAAGGGGAAGTTGAGGTCAGCTTCTCTGAACCACAGGGACTGAAAGTGGAGGAGTGGTTGCCCAAAGGAAAGTCGAGGTACTGTTACCAGAAAAGGAGAGATTAGATGTTGATTAAGCAAAAACGGTAGTTATCAAACATGGCCATCCAATGCAATACTTCCACCTCATTTTCCAGTGTCCCTTACCCCTAAATGATTGTGACAAACGACTGTTCACCTTCTTTCTTGAACGTACTACACTAAACACCTTCCAGACAAGATCACATTTTCCTAGCCACCTCCATTTTATAAATGAGAACGAAACAGGCAGGCCAGGTGCAGTGGCTCAAACCTGTAATCCCAGCACTTTGGGAGGCCGAAGCGAGACGATTGCCTGAGCTCAGGGGTTCGAGACAAGCCTGGGCAACTTGGTGAAACCTCATCTCTACAATACATCAACAAATAAACTGGGTATGGTAGCACACGCCTGTAGTTCCATCTACTTGGAGGGCTGAGGTGGAAGGATCGCCTGAGCCCAGCAGGTCAAGGCTGCGGTGGTCGTGAGCGTGCCACTGCACTCCAGCCTGGGCAACAGAGTGAGACTCCAACTCAAAAAAAAGACCAAGCCGGGCTCGGTGGCTCAGCCTGTAATCCCGCGCCTTTGGGAGGCTGAGGTGAGTGGATTGCCTGAGCCCGCGGGTTCGAGACCCGCCTGGGCAGCGAGACCTCATCTCTACAATAAATCAAAAAATCAGCCAGGCGTGGTAGCGCGCGCCTGTAATTCCGGCTTCTCGGAAGGCTGAGGCGGAAGGATC